CGCCTCTCTTCCAACCGGAGCTGCTCCACCAAAGCTCCCCAGGGCTCCACTACCTGGCCTGGCAGAGCCTCCAGAAGGTACCCGATCACACTAAGGGGGACATGGAGGGTAACATTGTGCTGTCAGGGGGCTCCTCCATGTTTCCTGGCTTTCCCGAGAGGATGTGCTTAGAGTTGAATGCCCTGTTCCATGACACAGACTGCCAGATTCAGGTCCTGGCAAGCCCAGAGAGGGGCATCGCAGCCTGGGCAGGGGGCTCCATAGCAGCATCACTCACATCCTTCCAGCAGGCGTGGATGGCAAAGGGTGAGTACGAGGAGCACGGTGCTGAGTACGTGCACAGGATATTCCAGTAGGCAGATGGTGCATCCAGAGCATCCCACCACAGGGCCCAAGCAGGGTCTCCAACACGCTGCCTTGCTCGGGGCAGAGCTGTGGTGGTGACCCAAGGCCAGCTCCTGCGCTGCTGCAGGAGTGCAAAGTCAGTGCAAACACTCCAAAAGAAGTAAACTGCTTTTCATCTACACCCCAGGTTATTTCTGTGCCTGTCCCACCGCTCCCCTCTGCACGTGTCTGACCTGCTGGCAACACACCCACAGCTCCTGCTGTGAGCTGAGGCCACGCTGACTGCCTGGGTACAGCCGGGTCCTGATGCTGCACGTCCAGAGCACTGCAGCAGAGCTGTCCTTTAGGAATGCACTGCCTGCACAGGGAAGGGGCTGCTCCAGCCAGTGGGAAGGCTCCTTCCAGCCATCAATGCAGCAGGACCCTGAGGCCCAGGGGGAACCACAGGGGTGGGAGGGCCAAGCTGAGGAGCAGAAGGTCCTCATGGCACCAGCACTGCAGCCACTTTACTCCAGGAGGTGTCTTCTCATCTTGGCCCTGAAGCAGCTCAGCCCCGGGTCCGGAGGATGAGCTGGTGAGAACCATGGAACTGAACTCCCACTTTGCAGGTTTGGTATAAAGTTGATCTGGTGCTTCAGGGAGCAGGTTCAGCTCAGTGAACAGGCAGAAAAGCACTCGCCTGCCTCCACTGCTGCTGTAGTGAACTGACCCAGACCAGCAGATGATCAGAAAAGGATCAGAGGTTCACAGGGGGGTACATCATTCATCCACCGCATGGCTGGGCACAGGCTGCTTCATTCTGGGAGCTGGTCCCAATCCAGACACTGTCGCCCCTCTTTGTGCACAGGGGACACTTCCCACAGCAAGCAGCTTCTGGTGCGCTCCCTTTTCCAGTGCATCCTCCCGAGCCCCCGCTGGGGCCCCCACAGCTTTGGCATATGGATACTTCCCCCTGCACAGGGGCCAGATGCCTCTCCCCTTCATCGCTCCCCTTCAAAGGGCCATGTGCTGGGAGAAGCCCCGGCACCAAGC